CAATGTCCTCCCCACCACATCATCCACAGCTCCTGGGCAGGAGTACACAATGTCCTCCCCACCACATCATCCACAGCTCCTGGGCAGGAGTACACAATGTCCTCCCCACCACATCATCCACAGCTCCTGGTCAGTAGTACACAATGTCCTCCCCACGTTTCACGTCTCATACCTAACTTGCAATCTGTGTTCCTGAGCCTTGTCTCACACTGCCATGGACACACAATGCCCCGCATTTCCCTTTTCTGCCACTGGTGTCAAAGGAGCAGGGCAATCAGGCCTCAGGTGATTTAGGTGATCATGTCAGCAGGCTATGACCATGAAGTCACAGAGAAGAGAACAGAGATCATTTTACTGTTGATGATATTAACAATGTGCCACTAGGGGGTGCTGTTCTCTAAAATTCATTCAAGTAATGACGACTAACCACTTCAGCTATATTCAGGGCACGTTCAAATGACGACAGCCCAAAGGATTTGGCAGAGGGTGGATTCCCTGTCTTATATACACACTGTACCATGTGATGTAGACACTTGAGCATAATAAATCTCCCCAGATTTTTTCTGCTGCAGTACAATCAGGCTCAGTGAAGGATTGACAGCCTTTTTTGTCCCACTTCAAAGCCCTCCACAGGTGCTACACACAATGCCTTTTCCCCGCATCACTCCTCAGTGCCCCTTGTCTTTAACCTCTTCCTGTGCATCTTGGCTTCTTCATAAAGCCAGACCAATCACATACAGTAACTGCTTGTTCTGTTTTTTATACACCCACCCATGCTACTAGTACTCGTGTTCTGTTCGTCTGGCATCGCTGACAGCGCCATCTGTTCAGCAGCACCTCATTCAGAACAGCACGCACTGGCCTCCACTCATGTATTTAGTTACCTACTATGAAGCGCTCCACCTTTCCCCCATCGACATCTCTGTCCTGACTCAGCCTGACTGCTCCATAGCCACTCAGCAAGAGCGTCTCAGGTCGGACCGGTAGGTAGAACTGTGCGACAACGGCACTTGGCAACTAGGGTTGATTTTGGGTCGATATGGAGCCACTATGAGTCACACATAAAAAACAAAATCCAGGAGACTGAAAAAATCGAAATAAACAGATACTTGGGGTTTTTTCAGGCCCAAACATGGACTGTTTCGAACCTGGTGCCCACACTGGAGTTCTGGGTTATTGAGGTCAATATAAAAAGACTCAATATTATATTCAGTTGATGGCTAGGTGGAACGAATGGAGATGAGTAAAGCAGATCAACAGACTCTCCCACCTGACCTAGCTGGATGGCCACACCCTCACTGAACACACATTTTATTGTTAGCGTACTATGTTTAGGTAAGAAAATCGGAAGTAATTAAGGTAAAATTCAGCCAGAACTTTCTAGCAAAAACCACTACTTATGTCCTCCGTCAGTATTCTCTTTGAAGTTACTTAGAATCTTCCACTTAGCTTAACTGGCTTGACCTTTCTTCATCAGCTGACTGGTTCACAGCGGATTTAACAAAACACACTTGAACAACGCAGTATAATTTTATCTCCCTGCAGTTTTGAGTGGTCCAGACTTTGCTAACTGAGGTGATAACTGCCTTTGGGGTCCTTACAAATTGTAACGGTTACAATCTAAGCAGGCAATTACATCAAAACAAGGATAACATAATGATACAGCAGGCAATAACAGCAAAAGACTATCAACACAAAATGCTTCCTTTTAGAACAATGATACCAGCGCTGATCTGCTTCAGTATGTAACCTGGAATAACCTGAGCTTAGGGAACTGATTTACCAAGACTTTCTGTCAGAATTCATTGCACACAACCCTGGGACAGTAATTTGACAAGTTGGCATCAGCACTCTCCTGAACTTTAGCACTCAGTGTCACTTGAAGCTCGCTCTCGCTGAAACACCAGCAGGCTGTGACATCTTAGTCACCCTTCCTGGATCACTAGAGTCAACAAAGAGCAGATATCATTGCTAGTCAGATTCCCACAAGACTGTATCCACAAAAGAAATGAACATGAAATGATGTCTCTTTGACAGATACCCTTGCACAATGAATTTAATCGGTGTCTTCTACTCTTCGAGGAGGCACTCCGCAGATGCTGACTGTGGCACCAGGAGAGGCGTAGTGAGCATGTAGCACATCTGTGACAACCTGCTATCCTGGCGTTCACCTGTGAGACGCCACGCGCTATCCGAGGATGAAGGCCCGGCCAC